TGTTACTGAGAGAGTAAATGGTATGAAATGATACATTCTGTATATGGCCAGGTCCATCAGCACAAAACCAATAGGGGCATTGATCAGCATTAATTTCTGTAAAATCAGTTGAACGCATTTTTAAGTGGTTAACAATTACATTTTAATGCTGAAATGAAGCTATAAATCTAAAAATCAACCACACAGCTACGAAAATTATAATGTTTTGTCTCTAGACATAATTTTCACTGTTTTTTCTTCCTTGAAGTACTCTGAAATCAACAAATCAACTGTGGAATGGAATGGGTTAAGCATTTTAAATTAGCCCAAACACAGAAGTAAACACTTACAATTGAGTGAGATAACAGTCAGCTCTCCTTGGTTCAGCAGCACTCCATTGTACCTGACCACTGCATTAAAACAACCTTCATTATCCAGTTTTATGTGAAGAACATTGTTCTTGTCAAATCCATCTGGGAGAATCACTAGCTCTGGATCTGTCTTAGCACTGCTTCCAATCTGAAAAAATGTTAAACAATAATCTAAAGGACTGCAAAGCTATTCCGTTAGATGACCATGACGATGGTAATGATGATGATGCAAGCTACATGAAGTTAATTAAATATAATTATTCTCAAGCAAAAAAAGGTAGGAATAAAGAAAATCAGTAAATAGGCAGCGTAATTATTTGCTCAGAACTGATCTGTAAAGAGAATAAAAAATTTCAACTTCTGCACTAGCAATATTGTGAACATTAAGTAGGAAGTCATAGAATCACTTACAGGCTGGAAAATAAAATTCTGTCTTGTAATGCATGAATTTCTTTAAGAGGCAGATCAAGTCCTAATTTTAATCACACTGACAAAAAAATAAGTGAATTGCTATAATTGTTTGATAACATATCTTATCATTTTAATAATAATTACTATTTAGTATTAATAATGGATAGAATCAAAGGAACATAATGCACAGAAACGGCTACATGGCTGTAGTCCTTTTCTACGAAACAAGAGATAAGTTTCTTTCTATTTATAAGATTATGAGCTTGAGATTTCTATTGCGTGATAGTTGACAATGGTGCAGCCCAATTCAGCTGTCAAGTATAGAAATCGAAAGCAAAGAATCTAATAATTATTTTAGTGTAAAATTATCTAGACTAGTCATTCATAATTTTATAAAAATCCTCTTCAAAAACTCTTCAAAAACACAAAGAAGTGGCCGCCATTTTGTTTTAGAATAAAACAACCACACACTACTAAGCTACTGACTATCTACAACAGAGTAGATATTGAGTAGCGTAGCCAATCAGAGAACGGCATTTGTGATGGAACACTGGTAGGTTCATATTAGAAAAGAGTAGATAGTGACTAGCATAGCCAATTGCAATAAGAGAACAGCATTCATGAAAGATCAAAAGAAGATTTATAATAAGAGCAAATAGTCAAGGCGGAACAGCAGAAACTGTAGAAAACAGGAGCAAGTCTGTGGCTTAATCATGTTTCATCTACCATCAAATTAGAATTATACTTTTCTCCAACTAAACTGACAACATGTATGGAGGAACTGAGAAGGAGCGAAATAATACTACAAAGCCATAAACAATCAAAAACTAGATCATGTTACCTGTTTAAACTAAAATAAGATTTGCTCAAATTTATTACCTCTGTTACTTCAACACCATATGAGTGAATATCTTGGACAGACAGTGGGCAAATATTGCCAAACTTGTCACGAGCCTCTACAGTTAGGGGTGCATATATCCCTTGCTGAACTTCTAGTAATGATCCACCCTCTAAAATGCTGCACTTTGATGGATCCACAGCACCTGTCAGTAATACAACCACACGACCATGATCATGTGCCAAGACCATTTTTAGAATCCACATTAAGGCAGGGTATGGAGTCTGAAGCCAACATATTTCAGATTCATTATTAACACAAAAACATACTGGTTATCGTAAAGTTGTGCATCATGGTATCCATGCTTCATAGTGCGGCAAGAGATAATAGTAATAATAATTATTATAACAACTACAGTACAAAACAATAAATAAGATGATAATACTTATTAGATATAGCACCTGGTAAAAATGTTTTAGTGAATGGTCTCTCTGTGATCAGTGTCCCCTGTACAAGAACAGAAATTGTGTAAATTCCAGCTTCTCTAACAGTAAAAGAAACTTTCATGATGTTCCCTTGTGCCCATTTTTCACCACCATATTCCCACGACGACTTAATAAATGTGTTGTTGTGCATGATTTCAACAAGAATGTAATCCTCAGGAGATACAGGGTATGGAGTGCTGTTCATCCTGTAAAACTGAAACAGAAAGAATTCCATGAGCTTTCTCATAATAAATTATTATCAAGACATTAAACTTGTTCATATACACCAATAAAATACCTTTAGAAAGAATGACATTGATTCTCCGACAACATGAGGGTCCTTCCATTCCCATGTGACTTTGGTGAACTTTGGTTCCAAAGGTAAACCAAGCACGTATCGAAAGAATGAAGACTGGTGCTGTCGGCTTTTGGTTTTTATTCTGAAGACTCCAGCACAGATGACTATGACACTTACTATAGAGCCAATAACGAGAACAAACATCTTGCCTGTGCAATTAAAGAGAATCAAAATTAAAGGAGAAAGGGGAAACCCGAGAGATTTTTGTTCCATGACCAGGCTTTATATACATGTATCATCACCATCATCATCATCTGATCATAATCTTTATTCTCACTTGATTAAGCCTATAAGGTCTCAATTCTGGGTGACTGTGCTCTTCATTCCCTGGCTGACTACTACATTGCTGCATTCCAGCTGCTTCAGCCTGCTTGTTTTGAGCTACTACTGCTAGTGCTTGATTTGTTCTTTGCCAGGCTGTACATACGCTGTATATACGCATCTTATTTATAACTGAGTTTGAGGTCTGTACTCTAAGACATACACAACTTTCTTTCTGCCAATTTAAGGCCAAAGTGTATATCACAGAGACCAGACTCAACAGAAAAGCAACTGGACCCATATTTTATGTACAGTAACAAAGAGCAGCACCTACAAGCTGTGACTTGAGTTTTACACAATTTTGAACACGCTTTATTACTACTGATATTAATATTTTAAATACGATTTAGTCAAACAAAGAACTCACCAATAAACTGAATACTCCACCACGAAAAGGAAAATATTGCTGTTGCACTTTTAACAGCCAGAGAATCCTCGAACAAATAATCCTCTCGCTTTTGAACAGCTTCTCTAAGCTTTGTCAAATCATCATCTTCAAAGATCTCCTTTAACGTAACAGAGTACAGATTTTCATGTAAACTTTCCACACTGAATATTCCTTGTGATAGCAGTTTTGTGTAATAACTATGCAAAGAAAGTTCCTGAAGCAAGAAATGAAGTTGAAGCTCATGTTTGGCCCTCTGTGCAGCCAATTCTAGCCTTTCCTTCTCTGTACTGAACGTGAAAAATCCCCAGAAGGAACCATGTCGGGTTAGGAACTTTTGAGCATCAAGAGTCGCGAACTTGGTTTTGGAGAGAACACCTAGAAAAGGAAAACATGTTTAGGGAATAGGTTATGCACTCAAGTGCATTGGGCGTACTAATACCCAACCCTAGGGACTACAAATAAGGGTGCTAACCCCAAGTACTGATGCCTGGGGAGATTTAAGCACTACTGGAATTAACTGAATCACATTAGTGAAAGATAAGATCCAATCATAACCCTGACTGAATGATCATAATTATTTGTATAACTAAGTCACCAGCTTTTCATGGTCCTAATCTCAAAATAGTTTTTCTCCTTAATGATGACCATATATTTCTTCTGATGGAAGTTCCAAGAAGTTGATGTTATATCAAGATGCTAATTTGTTATAGCCATACTCAAAATCACAACCACTGAACAAGCTTGGGTCATTTGCTGCAAACAAATTTATGTTGAAATAGAATACCACGTAAATTATTGAACAGCATTGTTTACTGACAGACGAAATTTATTAAGCTTATTTAACTTGCGTTCCAGAAGATTCTAAAAACCAAAAAAATGTTTACGTAAGCTCAAGCACTCAATCCTTGCAAGATATTACGACATTTTATCTGCTTTATATTTCACAAAATACACGAGATATCCAAATAGATAAGCATATAATTAAATAATTACGCTTTATATGTAATCACGATTTTTGAAATAAGGATACGATTTCCGAAACATCGGTGTATAGCAATTGACAAAGTACGGTACAACCGCGCGTTTAGAATATATAAGCTTAAAATTGCATAGCTACTGTACAATTATTACCGAAAAGAAATTTATGAGGGGACAGTAAAAATCAAACATACCGAATTTGTGCAGTTTAGCCTCATAATCCAGAAGACTGTATTCCTTCAACCAAGAATGTAATTCCTCTTTCTCTTCACGAACAATGCAGTAAATATGGAGACGATAAAACATGAAACCCAAACCAAGCGCCAAAACCGCAATCTTGTTAATCATCTTGAACGTGTATTATGCATGTCGGAGCTCTAAACCACGTTAGAGCTTTCACGTTATCTCGTCCTTTGAATAAAGCATCCTTGTACAGGCAAACTTAAGAATATATAAGTCAGGTAGTTTCGAAGTTAACTTTTTTCCGGAAAATTGCCAGAGAGTATCCCAGAATCTGAGCCCGTGGGCACAGATTGTGGTCAGCTGAATTTCGAAACTTGCGTGACAGAGTGGCGTGAGTGGCGTGATCGTCGCGCGACGGATATTACCTCTAAGGTGATTCCCTAGAAATAACACTTGACGTTAGAATTTTTTTCAAATTTTTTGTGGTTGTTCCTAACGATGTAGATATTCGAAATGTGCGATAAAAAACATATGGTACGGTGCTCGTTTAAGAGTCATAACTCGTCAAAGGTGCGTCAAAAATCCGACATTATGTGTGTTTTTCTTTTACTGAATGCCGCTCCGTTTGGGGGTATCAGTGGCCAAACACATGGAGTTAATATTAAAAAGTCTCAATAGATACATTGCATCGTCTTAAAGGAACAATTTGATAGCTGTTTCTTGGGAAAAATGTACATCTTGGATCAGAGTTGACAAAAAGTCTTTCTAGCTTGCGTCCTCTAGGGGTGGTAAGGTTCACAGGTCACGAGTAAAAGGGTAAGTAAACATGTTTGGCAGTAATTTTTTTATCTAATGTTAAATTTTTATTTTACTCATTCAGTGGAAAGGCAATGAATTTGTTGAGCTTAGCTTGATGGAAATCTCTTACGTTGTGTCAAGAGAAATTTTCTCTTGGTTTGTATGTGCACGCGCTCATGCGCGCGCGCTAATGACGCGAAAATCGTGCGCAGTAGGGATGCGTAACCTTAAAATATACATTCCAGCTCCTTTTGGTACTTCGTCTTTATTTGATGAATCAATGCTGCCACTCAAACAAATATCCAATCATTGTTGGACATGGTAGTGTAACGCGAGGTAATGGGTAGTGGAGGTACTGGAATTTCTGTGCTGGTGGGATTTCTCAGCTATCACAGATATCGCATATCTGTAATTATAATCCATC